TCAGTGGTTTGGGCACTGCTCATTTTCTAGGACTGCAGCACCACCCCCCCACACCCCACCCCCCGTTTACTAGATATCAAAGCTGAGCCAGCGTAAGGAAAGATGAGCAATACAGACCAGCAACAGACTATTGCCCCAGAAACAAAGGCAAACCCTGGAGGGAAATGAAGCTTAAAACGCATCATAGTTACTTCTTTGAAATACTGGGGAGTGGCGCTCCTCAACCCACCCCTGATTGGAGCTGCATGTATCCTCATGACCAAAGACTATCCCTGTATTTCATGGCACTTCAATTCAACAAAGCTTCTTTGTGTGCTGTTTCCCAGTCCTTAGCAATCAGACTTCTCGCACAAACACGAAGCCAGTTCAGTGATGGGGCTTCATTTTCTGCTTTTATTCCTTCTGCAGGGAAGGACAATTATTTTCTTTTCCCCCTGAAGAGCATCCTGTCTTTTGATAATCATTTCCATTGCTATTCAGTCTCTACACTTGTCTTAACTTGCCCCTCTCCGAATGGGAAATTAGCATAGCCCTCTCCAGGACTGCTCCACATATATTTTCTCCTGCTTCTCTTTAAAGACAGAAATAAATTAAGTGTTCAAAAAAACCTGTTTCCTCAGTCTCTTTCTTTGGTTTTGTATCTACAATCCCACAAATCCGTTCTCCTCCAAAACTGCTAGTTCAATTCAAATACATTGAATACTATTTCAATGTATTTGAAAAACCCTTGACCCTGGGTTAAAATATGCCACACAGCTCTTCATGCTCGGTATTCATATTTGCTCATAATGATCTTTAAAGTGATTTGTTTGTACAGTCAATTGTGTATTTAAAGCCTCTCAACCATTGCCTACATCCTGCCTTAAGCTAGTTCCCCACAATGGTATCTAGTGCCCTTTGCTCATGTCCTTCTTTTGGTACAGCTGAAGTGAACATCAGTTGCAATCCCTCCAAACCATCATCCTGTCCATTGTGCTGCAAATTGACAAATCCTAATCAAGCACCTTGGGGCATTTCCCAGTCCCTCACAGTCACTTTTGTGTGGCTTCATTTAGTGCTCTCTCTCAACAAGTATTTCAAATTGGAAGACATCACTAGAAGATTTACTGGCTCTGAGATGTGCCAATTTTCCAACCTTATTAAATCATAAAGCACTTAGCTCATTTCCAGAGATTAGGACCAAAATATCCTCTGGCTATATTGACCATTCAACAAATTGCATTATAAAGCAGTCCTACACAAGTGCATTTCTAAAAGCCTTCTTTAGACTTTTCCATGGATATAATTCCAATCAATATCTGAATGATTCAAATCCCCCTAATCAATCTCCAGGCCTTCTTTTAGGTGCTTCTCTTGTCTGCACAAACATTTCACAAACTTTTTTTTTTTTTTTTTTTTT